TTTTTACCGCGAATCGCGGTAAAAAAACCACGCGACAGACGCGCATATGCAATACGCCTAGGTGTGAACCAGGGCTAAGTGTATCCTCTAGTGTATCAAGGCTGAAACTCTACGTTTATATAGTGCTTGTAAATTAAGTTGCAAGGATTGACTAAAAGAGACTGAAAAGAGACTGAAGATCCAATATGTAAAAGATAAACTATTAAAACTCAACACATTTCTGTAAAATGACACTTGCAGATAGTCCGCGAGTTTCATTGAGTAATATGGTGTAATAATGTATTACATTGTATTTACTATTTCATTCATATGTAAATCAAATGTGTGGCCTTTGATTTACATAGGATATCAAAGAAACCTTACAATAAATGTTTTTGTTTTTTTAAATGTGATTCTCTTTAACCCCTTTATTATCTTTAGCTGACTGTAAACGGCCTCCTTTATCCCCATCTCTCATTAACCTGGCCATACACCTAATCCTGGGTCCTGATGACTGAGGTTGAAATGTAACCCAATGAGGCCCTGCCAAGACTGCACCGCTGTTCTAAAAAATTCTGTCAATCGGTGACTGCAACCAATCAAGTCAGCCAGTCACTGTTTGGATATTCCAACAGTGGTGCACCCTCCGCTGTCAGACTACAATAGTCTAGGGGGGATGCACGTGAGGGAATCGACTAGCATATGGTCAGCCTTGACTATTTTCTGCTGATTTTTTTTTTTTTGTCAATTACATTTTTTTTTCTGTGTTGCATTTTTTTTTCTGAAATGTCTTTTTGTCTATAGAGTACATACAATACAAAATAATTTTGGAAGACTATACATATTTCCAAAGGAAAGCCTAGTATGTATTACTTTTAAGTAATGGCAGAGCTGTAGCTGAATAAACAAGCCTATAGTGGAAATTTAAAAATTGCTCTGGTCTATACGGGGTAAAATGGTTATGGGAATTAAAGTAGTTAAGATAGTCATTGGAAGATGCATAAAAGAGGGCTAAAGTCAAATCCATCTGATACCCTCTTGGATGTCTTTCCACACTTGGATGTCAGAAAGCAGACACAGAATTCACTAGCTCATACTTCATACTTGAAAATGTTTAAAAAACAGAGCAACCATTGTACCATTCTCATAAAAGCCTCTCAGTTTCTGATCCCAGTCATGATGGTGTCAGTACTGTGCACTCTTGCCCCTATAAAACCCTAATTCGGACTGGGGATTGTGCTGGTGTGATGTGACAGTGTGTTTATGATCTGCTGCGTTCCTGTTGACGGGATACCAAAAGGAGCTGCCAGTCAGTGGATGGTTTCAATAAAACCAAACGTGGTCTCAATTTACTACAATTTCCTTCAAAACTTTCCTCCATCCCTGTTGATCTGTATTCTGCTCCCAGATAATGATCAGATTTAAACAGAACAAATGCCAGAACTATTTTCCTGTTGAGTCTCTTTGTTGAGAAATGATTTCTGGCAATGTAGTAGGCTTTGTGTATTCACAGTACTATGGAGAAGCAACCCGATGCACATTATCCAGTTAAACATTTCCACAGACTGGGCAAATGGACTATAGCTGTAAAACTGTAAATTAAAGGAAAAACATGTGCATGTAAGAATCAGTCCGCCCATTAGTGATGGTGTAGATTTTAGATCAGGGATGGACAAACTCCAGGAGCCCGGCAGCCAATGCTCAATGGAGCTGAATTTCATAATAATTTGTCCACCCCCTTTCTAGGTGGAACCTGGTGGGTCAGCTCCTGGCATTTGTATGCCTTAATTACTCCATCATTGAGATCTCCCTGCTATAATACCCAACTCTGTTCCTGTGCGCTTGGGAGTTTTGTGTGTCCAGCTCCTCCTGTCACATTCTCCATAATATAAAATAAAGAAGAGTCCAGCACAAAGAATGGGAGCCCCTCATTATAGGCACAGTAGGTGTGTGGACCTAGGAAGTGGAAAGATCTCACCGATGGAGTCCATGAAAGATAAAAGGAACTGTTGGGTCGTTCACTTCACCAACAGCTACCAAAAACTGATCAGTTGTAGATGGAATGATCCTTTAATGTGGAGTTTTGTTTCCTAAAAGACCTCCATGATTAACCATTTTCATCTGCTTTTGTCGAGAATCAAACAATTCTTACTTAGTCTGTTATATGGATTAGAAAGATTTTAGAAAATGAAATTTCTGAGTCTTATGCAGTTTTGTAATATATAAACTGACACTCAGGCCAATTAAACTGGCCATACACTGCTTAATTTTTCTCTGACCAAAGTTTGAGCTGTGGTTGGCCCTGCTGACACCACCAGCTTGACAAAAGTCGTTTTTCAATGGACTTTTGTCGAAGGATCCAGGTAGAAAATTAACAGCCGAGCAGTGACTATCAATCTGCTGCAGTCACTGTTCGGGTATTCCGGGTGTCGGCTGTCAGAATACAATAGTCCGGGAGGGAAAATTCCCTTACGCATGGCTGTTTAGCACGTGTCTGGAGTTTAACCTTAAAAATGCATTCAAGTACCTTAACCATTAACAAAAATGTATCTTATTTGTGTATCACTCGGCTGTAGATCCTCCAATCATCTCTGAATTGGTGTGAAATTAATGGTAAAAGCCGCGCTGTGTGAATGAGACCGCAAAAGTGTCAGATATAGTAGATACTGACCTTGGAGTAATGTGATACAATGTGTAAAAAGTGTAAAACAAAGAAGAAACGCATGTATATAACATGCACCTTAGTGTAAATGTAATTGCTACAAAATATCCATAATGAAAAATCAAATGCATTAAATATTAACTGTGAATCAATGTGATGCAATGTGCAAAGAATAGCAACTAGAAAAAACGCATGTGTGTAACTTGCACTACAGTCAAAATAATAAATGGTTAAAAAATGTCCATGATCCTGGATCTTCAATAGTCCATTAAGTAAATAGAAGATAAAACATTGGATGTAGAATAGACTTAGTCTCCTGTGACCATCAACAGAGAAATCTTCTGGAATGCACCTCACCTTTAGCAGAGACCCACCAGGGTCTGTATGCGCTGTTCCTCTAATTCGAACCAGGTAGAGGAAGCACCTGATGCCGAATACCTCCCAGTGATTTCCTCCTCTCAGGTACAGACTCTCTTGCAGTCTCAGGAATTGGAAGCAGACAGTGCCCCATGCATCAGATAAAATAAAAAGTGGAGACTCGTAGTGCAGATGGTTTTAAAAGGATACTAGACTTTATTAAAACAAGGATACTACTCACATATCATAGATAAATGTGAGGTATTTGGTAAGCAGCCACAGACACTGTGTGCAAATCACTCAGCTCCTCTACTCCACCCTACGTACGTTACGTCAAAGGGCGTGACTTCATCAGGGGTGTCTGACCACACAGATTTCAGCTGCTGCTTAACTTGATTAGAGTAGTGGCGCGAGGTTTCCCATTATTCATCTCTGAATTGGTGCCGACACTGTCCTTCCTTCTGGAGGGTGTCTGCTTTTGTTCCCCATGGTCCCTGTGTGTGTTGTAAAGTAGCCACCGCCCCAAGCTCGCTCCCATGATGGACTACAACCTCAATACAAATTAGTAAACTAAACATGAGATTGTAGTCCATCACAGGAGTGAGCTTGGAGTGTTGGCTCTACAACACACGTGGGGACCAGATGTGCTTGGTTATCTTTTCAGTGTCGGCCTCTCTAGATCAATGGTCTGGCATGAGCAACATGTGGCCGGTGCCCTTTTTCTTAGCCCTTGTCTTTGTAGTCCAATTCTTTGCCCGTATAATTTCTACAAATTCTTGTTTCTGGTACTGTATGTCCTGTTGCTCTGGCTGTAGCCCATCTAGTATTCCATTAAAATACTCTTTGATTGCATTTTAACCTATGTATTTCCAGCCCCATCTTTTTCTCTTTTCTTCTTTGTCCACGGGATTAGGAAAAAAAAGGTTTCATCACAAAAGACCAATTGTCACCCTTAAAACCTGCCCAATTTATCATGTTCCCATTTCCTGTTGTCCGTAATAGAGCAGGACCCACCCTACTCAGCCTCTGCCAGATGATTGTGTGAAAATTGAGTTGGGAGTAGTACAAGAATCCCATTGTTGTCATAATCTTGACAGCGGATACACAGAGCTCTGACTGTGAAGGTCTCTTTTGGCGCTGTTATAAATGCAGAAACTTCTGAATGTGTTTCCTGACTTCACCAAACACTTGATAAATATGATGTTTCCAGTCCAGTCCCGTGTGTGATAATGTGCATGTAGGCAGAATATTGTCAGCCACACGAAACACTGATTTTGACTGACAGTTCTTTTAAGGGGAAACCCTGAGGTGATGTTTTAAAGGCAAACTGGGTTTAACATTTACATTAAAAGCAGAGGTCTTTCTGCATACATTTGCATTTGCAAACATATGTGAACCCACGCTGCCACGCCACGGCACCTTTGCAGGGTCGTTCTACTCTAATTTGTGGAAACATGCAAAATCTGAAAAATATATTGCAATATCTGCTCACTCCTGCAGATATTTTAAAACAATGCAATTAATGAAGTCATTTATTTTCTTTAAAAAAAGCATTTAAAGTAGAGCTGCTACCAACATTTTTTTTCTTTGGTTTAGGGTACAGTATGGAACTGTTTGGAACCTCTGCCAAGTTTTAACTGCTGTCTGTGCCCCCATTGAAGATTTGCCCCTCGGCCTGTTACAGGGACAGGAAGTGAGGGGGATATCTTTTAAATGGAGAAACAACCTGCAATAAAAACACCCTTTTTCAGTAAGAATTTACACCTTTGTTAGGTTTTTCAGTGTTCCACATTTTTGACATTTTGTGCTTACTTCCGGTCCGCATGATGCCCTGTGTTTCAGGAATTTTCCCCAAAGGGGAGAGTAATAGAAATGTTTAAGACTCTAAGCCTTCCCCACCCTATCTGACATTTTAAAATGGTTGAGTTTGAAGCTTAGCATAATGATTCATGTTGGCATATGTTGGATATAGCCTAATATTGTTTCTTTACGTTCTTTACAGAGATTCTTCTCAGAGGTGGCAGCCTGTTCCTGGAACGAAAGCAGCCATGTTGGTGAAAGTGAATAGCCTGAGACAAATGCCAGGGTCCTCTTCCAATTCACCGCTGCAGAACAGTATTCCAAAGAATTCCATAAACCGACCCAGTTGCTATGTTCAGGTTCCACCTCCTGCTCTGCAATCTAAACCTTTTGCGGACCCCAAGCAATCCATGCAAGTAAAGAAAACGGACAATGGTGGATTTTGCTTAGTTTTAACTAAAGGGGCCACTTGTCAGACTCCACAAAGGACTCCTACAGGTACATTACAGCCCTCATCTCCCCGGTATGGATCTCCACCACCCATCTATGATGAGCCCTCTATAGACTCTCCGATTTACGATGAGCCTCCTGCTGATATGGACTTTGAGAGTATGACTGTGCGCTCTCTTTCTCCTCCGGTGTCCCCGACAAATAGCCTACAAAGCAACTCGCAAACACCAAAGCTTTTGCCCTACCCAGGTCTGCATCAGAATAAGCACAGGAGGAACCCCTCTGCTACAGAATACAGCCCAGCAGGAAGGGAGTACATAAAGCACATGGTCAATGTTGACCAATCCTCAAGACAGACAATCTCGCCTACTGGCTCTCTTGATGTTCCAACCAAACATCAACCTGGCCAGTTGGCCGTAAAGGACAGTTTCAAGAATTCTTGGAGGGTCTTGGAAGCAAATGTTCTGAAGAACATTGAGGCCCACCACAATCGGCAGAACAGCCTTCCTCAAGACTACCCTACGGTGGTAAGCCAGCAGGACTCTGGTTACTCCACGGGCCCTTCTCCTAGCTTGCGAAAAAGAAAGGGCAGGAGACAAGGCACTACTCAGATAAGACCTGGGTCACTTGGCAGCAGCAGTGAACTAAATGCGTTAAATGAAAAACTTATCGCGGAGATGAGGTCAGTTGTTTGCAGGACTGCAGTTTCTAGAGGGAGCAAGGCTAGTTTGGACACGGACATGATAGAAAACATTGCCCCGGACAGTAACAAGGTGCGCTTTCAAGAGTCCTTAAAAAACAGTTCGGGGAGAGGGTCAAGGGATGATGTCACAGCCAGCACTAGATCATTATACAGACCAGGAATAGAGGTCCGAGACAGCAGTAAAGTAGACATAACTGCACAACCTGAAGTGGTACGACAGAAACGAACATATGAGAAGATGGACTGCTTGGAGAAGAAAGTCACCAGCCAGACAAGTCTCTTGTCCTCAGAGTCCACCAGAACGATGTCTCAGGTTTGTGTCTCTTTATTTACATACTTTTGATCTGTCTTATTGTTTCTCTCTTTAAAAATGCAGCAACTTAATATTTTGTTTGAATAAAATGCTTGTTTTGATCTGTTTTTTTTATCCTTTGTTCCATCACAGTTCTGCTGATTTATTGCAGTCTTTTTGCAGCCACTTGCTGCCTACATGCACTCCTGGAAAGACTAAATGCCTTTTTTTCAGGGCGGGTTTCCTGATGGTGATAACCATGGACCATGTCTGTGTACCCTCCTTGGCCCTCCAGCTGTGGTGAAACTACAGATCCCATGGGGCATTGCAACACTCTGACAGCCACAGGCATATCTTCCAGATGCACAGGCATGATGGGATTGGTAGTTTTATCACAGCTAGAGGGCCGAAGTTTGGCTACCTCTGAGATAAAGTATCGTCACCAAAAACTGACGTCTCATGCTAGGTAGATGCTGAAGAATTAAACTGCCTGACAAGGAGAGGGACACTTTTCCTGTTTGGACTTTTTAATAATGTAGAATTTTTAATGCAACAGGAGGATCTCGAGCAGCCTTTCTCGGCCAGGGTGCCGAGCCACACTGGTGTGCCTCCTGGGTGCCTCAAACTTTTGTGGTAGTGGGACTGTGATGTAAAGGGGAATCAAGACTGATGTGAAGGGGGGCTTCTGATGTTAAAAGGGGGGCTTCTGGTGCAAAGGGTGACTCTGATGTGAACGGGAGGAATCCTGATTTTAAAAGGGCACTTCAATGTAAAAGGGGACACCCACGTTTTTGTGCTTTTTTTGCCTAGGGTCCCCCTTAAAATCTATGACCATATAAACTGGGGTGCCTCAAGATTTTGAATACTTAAAGGGTGCCATGACTGAAAAAAGGTTGAGAAACGTTGATCTAAAACACTCAAAACTCCTAGATGAACTGGACCAGAGTCAGGAACTACTGTATTTTAGGGAGATCTCGCTGATGGGACTATCCAAGTCAAACAAAAAGCAGGAGACTCATTAAACCCAACAAGCTCCAATTATATAATTAAAAAATTACTCTTAAGTTGAGTGGCCCTTTAACAGTCAACACATGCATATTTCTCTTTTTTGTGTGTGATAAAATATTTTTGGGATGTGTTACTTGCAATAAAATCTGTGGGCGCCAAAACATCCCCTGCCAAAAAATGGAATTTCAGAAGTACAAATCGAACTTGCTCATCACCATATTTTTCCTTGTGATAGGTTCCCTATTGTTTTTTTCCCAGTGCTGAGCATTAGCTCACTACAGGAAAATAGAGGGTACTGTGTAGTTTATTAGCACTGAAATCTGCTTTTTTGCATTGATTGTTAGCCGTCACTTGTGCCGGAAAAAAAACATCTGCCCTTGTAACATTACCCCCAGCTTTCCTTTCTAATGAAAAATACAGCCAGGCACTTGTGTGACATTAATAAAAGGTATTCTGTTCCAGATGTAAAAACATTTTACAGGATCGTGTAGCTGCTTTTCCAGTTAATCTACATTCATCAATAGTCTGAGTTCTGGGAATGCAATCAGAGCCAGTTATAGATCTTTTATGTAAAAAAGCCGGACGTTTGCGCTCCATGAATAGCATGCCTGCTTAATAAACATTATTCAAATAATCAGCTTCTGATTACAGCAATTGACGAGCAGCAGCTGTGAGCGTCAGCCAAGAGGGCTGTCTGCTCGGCTTTTAACAACCAAACAAACCCTTTCTATCATCTTCCAACCTGCCCTAGAAAATGACAGCTGGAACCTGTTCTGCCTGTACAATGAAAGCACTTTTCCTTCTGGATATTTAAGGGGAACCTGTCTGAATAGACTTAAGGGAGCTGCCATTGCCCAACTCCAAGCAAACATTTTAAGAAAAAGAGCACATGCCATTGTTTTAATATAAAAACCAGCTCTGGCCGCAATATTCACCTCCTCTCGGAGCGTATCTGGTGTTCCTAAATACCTGGCCGTACCAGGCCTCTGGGCTCCAGAGCTGAATTGTTAGTGGGATTTTCATCCAGCAGGAGACATCAAGGCTTCATAGTTACATAGTTACATAGTATTTGGGGTTGAATAAAGACATAAGTCCATCAAGTCCAACCCATATAGGTCCACTTTAGGAATACTTGTATCCCTGAATATTACGATCCCTCAGGAAATCGTCCAAAAGTTTCTTGAACAATTCCACACTCTTAGCTGAAATCACTGCCGGTGTCAGTGAGTTCCAGACCCTAACCGCTCTTACTGTGAAGAACCCCCTTCCCCCCTTGTGCTGAAAATTTTTCTCCACCAATTTTAGGTGGTGGCCTCTAGTCTTTTTAATGGAGTTAAACTTAAAGAGTTTGTTGCCAATGTTGCTGTCACCATTGAACATCTTGTACATGAAAATCATCTCCCCCCTTAATTTCCTAACTTCCAACGTGAACATGTTTAAATTCAGTATCCTTGTCTCATAGCTCTGGTCCTCCATTCCCCTAATTAGTTTGGTTGCCCTCCGCTGGACTCTCTTCAGCTCAAGACATCCCTTCTTAGTACCGGCGACCAAAACTGGACCGCACACTCCAGATGAGGCCGAACCAATGATCTATAAAGCGGTACAATTATTGACTTGTCTCTGCAATACATCCCCTTCTTAATACAGGACAAGACCCTGCTAGCTTTGTTCACCACAGCCTGGCACTGCAAGCTACCATTCAGTTTGTGGTCTACAATGTCCCCAAGTCTTTTTCTATTTCTGACTTCCCTAGTGGCATACCCATAATTGTATAGCCTATTTGTTTATTTTTATTTCCAAAGTGCATTACTTTGCATTTATCGACATTAAACCACATCTGCCATAGTATTGCCCACTCCCCTATTTTATCCAGGTCCACCTGTAATGTTATATTGTCACGATCCGTTTCTAATACCCTCCCTATTTTTGTATCGTCTGCAAACACGGAAACATGGCTATTTATTCCTTCCCCGATATCATTAATAAATAGGTTGAACAATATGGCACCCAGCACAGAACCCTGAGGCACACCGCTCATTACACTAGCCCAGTCTGAAAAGGTGCCATTTACAGATACCCTCTGGACCCGTTCCCGTAGCCAGTTCTCTATCCACAAACACACCACCTCATCTATGCCCATAGCCCTCAGCTTGTGAAGTAAGCGCTTGTGTGGTACCGTATCAAATGCCTTTGAGAAATCCAGATATACCACATCTACCGGCTTCCCTCCATCCATATCTCTGCTTACCCCTCATAAAAAGTTAGCAAGTTTTTTTTAGGTTAATAGGTTAAACTTAACTGCTTTGTAGAAAAAAAAAAGGAAAACTACACCTGCTCAATGAGAGACACCTGAGCTCAATTAACCCCTCCCCCTAGGGAGCGCGATTTGTTGAAGCTCACAAGGTTGGTTTAAACCTGAGGCAGAGGGTCTGAAAGGAAACTGCTACTGCTGTGCTCTCAAAAAGCCCATAATGTTTTTGTGACTCGTGTATCATGGGTGCCTTCTGTGTTCAAAGTAGCGAGTCATGAAGATTCCATTGCTCCTTCAGAAAATGCTAGTGGTCTGGCTAATTTACAGACCCATTGGTGTTGTAACTTTGCATCATGGACCTGGAAGAAGTATACAAATCAAAATCGGGAAAAAGTCAGAAGTACTTGTCTGTATACTTGTTCCAGGTCACCAACTGAAAATGTTGAAGCTAGAGGATCAACACAAGACCCTGGGGACTAGCAATTTAAGAACAATGGCAACCTATGTTTTTTTCTGTCTTTTCAATGTATATTTGTAAAATAAAGATTTTATACAAATAGTAGAAAAAATATAAACTATTAGTTATGCATACATTAAAAGAAAAAGTATTAGAATCAACCCACCAATAGGTGACAGAACAATCCTGCCTTATCAGCAAAAAGCCTATGTGAGCTATCTGCAGGCTTGAAAACGGTCACATGGTAGGAGTTTGGGCAGGAAGGCGTGTCTAAGCCTATGCAAATACCGACTTTAAGCTTGAACCCTGTGGCAGGGTGCAGTGACCTTGCCACAGGCTTTGCGCTGATAAGGGAGGTATGTTCTGGCACTTGATGGAGCTTTTCAGCTTATCTTATTTTTATATTGTTTACAGTTTTACAGGGCAATTGTATTACCCTTTATCTTGTCAGTCTTGTATGTTTTTCTTCCAAACTGGACTATAAATATTATATTAGTTATTTTAGATTTGAAAGTTAACCTGGAACCTCCGACCACTGCCTGATTTATACTCTCTTCAAAATACAGAGTTGACCACAGTCCTGGGCACAGCAGGTATGTGGTTTTTCACCCTTGGTGTGTAGCCAAAGGAACGTGTGCACATTCACTACTGTGACCGCCTAAACTTGTTCTGTAAGAAGAGAGTCTACTTTAGGTGTGGTGACTCATTCCGTTGCAGTTCCAGCAAATTTTTTTATGCAATGGTTTGGAAAGGGTGGGAAAGGGTTAGAATCTCTTGTTATATTTTTACTGCTTTCTGTGTCTTCTTTGGGACGATTTTCCCTCACTATCATAAAGACAGTGGTCACTGGGACAATGAAGTGAGAAGACATCTTCCCAATGTGGACACAGACAGACGTAAGTCTTACAGAGGATCTAACCCAGGTCTAGCCAAACTCCGGCCCTCCAGCTGTGGTGAAACTACAAATCGCATGCTGCATCTCTCTCCGGGAGTCATGTCTGTGGCTGTGAGAATCTTGCAATGCCTCATGGGATTTGTAGTTCCACCACAGCTGGAGGGCCAGAGTTCTGCTACTGCTGATCTAACCCTTGAAAACAAAACCTTCCTTGGGTTTACTTTAATACCTGCCTTGTATTAGATGTAATTCCATACAATTTCTCTTTAGGTAGCGTGAGGAAGGATTATCACCTCTGTAATGTTTTATGGTCATCTTTTTCTAAATGGGGGCTTGGCCTCAATTCTTGTTGAGACTGGAGTGGGGGGGGGGGAATCTTTCTGATAAGGACAGAAAGTCATGAAAACCTTTTTTTTTAAACTGCACAGAGAAGGTCAGTCAGGTTTATATCATAAGCCTGTGTCTTCCTGCTTCGATGTGGCATATTCCTTTAATTTCTTGTCCTCTCATTGTCCTTGTCCTGTCCTACTCAAAGGGCGGGACACATAATGCATTCAAAATCTTGCAGAGGTTCTGTCTTTTCCCGACTAAAACATTTTTTGTCTGGCTTTGGGCTTCTTGGGGCTAACTTCAGATTTGAATGTAAAGACCAACAAAAACAATCATAATGTACTTCCACTTTTTACATTTTTGTTTTCAGACTGGTTGATATCCTCAGCCAGGACCGTAAAAAATAAACAACTTTGTAAATATGAATTGTCTATATTCATCTATTGAGCTGAAACATGATCTTAAAGTGTCTTTATGCCTTGTAAAGCTTTAAACAAACGCAACATATGTTTTCTGATTGCAGAGCGGAACCCTAGAGGCCAATCAAAGCTGTGAAAATCGCGGACAGGCAACGTTTGGCCCTTGTTACCAGTTTCCTTACACCACTTTGAGAAAACCACTTTCTCAAACCAGCATGGTGGACTGGGCCTCCAAGAACCTTAACATGCACACGCAGGGCATCTTCCGGAGGAGAATCTCAATTTCTAACATGCTCTCTTGGAATGGAGGCTCTATCAAGAAGCCCATGTTGATCACCAGTAATCGGGTTATCAAGAAAGAGGCTTGTGAGATGTTCAAGCTGGTGCAGATATACATGGGAGACCGCCAGGCCCGGACAGATAGAAACGAGGTGGCTCTGGTGGTGGTCACCAAGTGTTGGACCTTGCAGGGCTTGCGAGATGAGCTGTACATGCAGCTGGTGAGACAAACCACCAACAACATGTCATACAAGAGCCTATCCCTGGGATGGGAACTTATTGCCATCAGTTTAGGATTCTTTTCCCCATCTCCAAAGTTCCAGTCCTATTTGGAAGGCTACATCTACAGGCACCTGGAGGATGCAAGTGATCAGAACAGTAAGTGTTGACCTCTTTGTTTTATATCTGTTACAATGGGCATTCTGTAATGACCACTTTCGAAAAAGCAACCATTACATTTAAGTTTTAGGTAGCTGCTGGAACTTTGAATGTCTCTCCATCTTTGTATCTAGTTTTGTGACTCGGACAGCTGTATACCTTCCAAACTCTGTCCACCACTTGCAGATATTGTGAGAAAGTCGTAAGGCCAGTTGAAACCTCTGTGCTGTTCAAGTAGACCCACAGTCCTTTGACTGCAGTTTCCATGTGGTGACCAGATGTCTTGCTGAAAGCACATTGAGTGCTGAATGCCAGAGATAGTACACTGCAAGTGCAATTGTCCCCATCCCTAAACATAGATGGGTCTCTAAAATGTCTTTCCTGAGCTGAAATGTTAGTTGGTGGTGGACGGGCACTTAAAAAAGATAAAGCATCAGTTGAAATTTGGATTTTGTGTAAGACTGTGTATATGCTTTATGTTGTTTAGTGTTACACATAGAGTAACACCTGTCCTATTATATACAGTCTAGACTTGTCCTAGGTAAGTCTGTTGTTGATAGTTTACCTGATATGCTGAGTCTGGCAGATGGCATACAGCCTAACGATTTACATTTCCTTTTTATATTTCCAGTATTACCCAGTATATGTCCTCTTTATTGTGTAGAGTTTTTACCATATCATGGAATGCACTTGTTTTAGTTTGTTTGACCCGTTGCATAATGGTAATCTCTCTAGGCTTTCCACAATGCCTCCTTCCCCAGGGTTCTCGGCCCTACAATCAGGCGCTCGGGATGGATTTTCTTGACTGAATTTTATTTTTTGAATAGGCTGCCAATGCAATGCAGCGCAACACAACGCAGAGGTGGTTCATATCTGTGCATTGTGATGAGCTACGGCGCAAGAGTGTTGTGCTGTTGAGATGAATCTAGAGGATGGTGCTGCATCTCACCGCACTGTTTCACCTGTGATTGGGCTCGATTAGATGAAAAAAACCTGAACTTTGCTTTGGAGAGAAATATAAGACCTCTCCTGAATAATCAGGACATCACTGTTGACAAACAAATATTTTAATTGTACAAATGTGGATACAATTTAGGAGACTAAAGCTGACCATACACTTTTAAGATTTTTCTCGTTCAGCCCCTTGTACTGACCAAGATAAATCACTTGATGCCGCCATGGCCACCCATGGATCGAATTCTGACAGATTCAGCAAGAAACGGACGGATTTTGATCAGTGTTTCTGGCCAGCTTAGGTTCCTGAGAATTGTTTGATGTCCTTCAAACGTATTTATAAGAACATGATAGGAAATGCTATATATCATTCAACAGTCTGCATGTATTGGGACTCTGGGCTGTATGCACAGTGCTGAGAGAGGGCGTGAGCCAAGTATAAGAGTAAAAGAGAGAGGATTTCGAGAAAGCCTGACCAAAAGTCTGTGGCCATAAATAGAGAATAGAAACTGTGAATTTTTATTTCCAGCAGAGGAAATGCTGATTTAAAAGGTGTTTTTATGACGACAAAGTAATTGTATCGCCAGCATTACTTAATAAAGGGAAAGGATATCTTGCATTTTCCAAAAAAATAACATATGAATGTGATCAGCAGACTATAAGTAGTCTAATCAATGGCTTATTTCTGCATACTGTATGTCTATACATGACCAGATTTCTTTTAATATTTACTGAAAGTATCTTCAAATTGCCTTTAAACATTAAGCCAGATTCTTCCTACCAACAGTAAACACCACTAGGTACAATTAAACCCCGTCAGTGCCCTGTAAGTAGGCAGCAGACTGTATAATTTGCTGGCACTCTGTAATCAGGGGGTAACACATCCTCCTTATAATGTGGGTGCTGTCCTCACACCGAGATCAAAATGAACGAAAAAAAATTGTCTCTTGCTATTTCGGTACACTGTCATTATACAGCGGTGTGTATGTGGAGCTGCATATGGGAGGAATATTCTTGGAGGTCTGAAAACGATGACTGGCCCATGGATGACCAGCTGTGTATTTTTACACCTCAGTTTAAAGTTTAAAGGGACACCCTAGTGAAAATTGTGATACAGGCTTGTCTGTAGTGCACCAGTCCACCCCAGTCTATTTTTGGTGGCAACCTTCTGATCTGTGAACCCCTTTTCCTTCTCTTGTGTAATGCAGGAGAGGTAGTCCCAAACACTCCCACTGCAGGCTCCGCATTATCTTTCACATACAAAAAAGCCTGATTTGACAAAGTGCTAGTTTTAGGCCTTGTCCATGTGAGCAATGGACTTTACTGCCCTTCTCAAAAGTTATCTGCGGCAGATTGCTTTACAGAAGGCCTCCTGAATGCCTTCATTGTGTTTTCATTCCAAGGGGGATTTTCCATGGAACTTCATGCTGCAACTGCGTGCCAAGTGTTTGGCACGTGTTGCAGTGCGGTCCCATTCACCTCAATGGTTGCGTCTGGCAGGCAGCACCTTCTGAGCCTGATGACGGGGACCCTGCGTGGCCCTGAAAGTACTTGCGATTTGAATGACCGTTGTCATTAAAATGGACATTTGTTGAATCTACTTATTGGAGTGCTGGTGACATTTTGTAGTATCTACATGGTTTCACGGTGCCTCTGTGGTCGCTGCAAGCACCCAGATACTGACATCATCTCCTAGGAGATCCAGTAAGGAGTGCAGTAAGATATACACATTTTGGCAGGCAGCACCGCCTGTGTTTGGAACACCTTTGCGGAGTGGTCCTATTCATCTCAATGGTCGCATTTGGCAGGCAGCACCGCCTGTGTTTGGAACACCTTTGCGGAGTGGTCCTATTCATCTCAATGGTCGCATTTGGCAGCAGCACCGCCTGCTTTTGGAACAACTTTGCGGAGTAGACCAGATCTATACTAGATCTGGTCCTATGGACAGATCTAGTCCAGTCCGCACTGGGATGAGGGTGTTGGATATTATCTTAAAGGTGGTTTAAGGCGAAAGCCCCTGTGTATTACTATATGAAATATGTCAGAGTAGATGTCTTTTTCAACTGAGGAAGCTATTTAGACTCTTGACAACATGTACATCCTTGAGCATGACCCGTGTGAAGTGAACTTAACATTTTGTGTAACTGGATTGTGGCTTAACCCGCTTGTGCCTGTAATAGCCATTTTGGTGTATTTTACTTGGTAGAAGATATGCATTTGTGTGATCTAACATTGTGTACTGTCAGTGGGGTGACTCCAAGCATACTTGTGTCGTGTCCGGTGTATGATGTTTAGCCCTGACCTATAATTCGTTTCAGTCTACAGTTGGAAGGAAGGTGCTGAGCTCTGCTGGGCAGGTAAGAATGACAAAACTTAATTACAGGGTTAGACAAAAATGTACCACTTGGCAACATCTTTCAAAGTTGTGAATTTGATCTAAATCGTCTGAGTTTTATTTTATTCCCCCCACATTCCTGGCATGTGTAGAAGTTCATCGTACTTGATTTAGGAAATTTAGCACAAGGCCAATTTGTAACTTTCTGCTAATGTTTGCTGGAGCCAGAAGGTACCTCAAATCCCTGTGCTTGTATTAGTGACCTTTACAGCTTAAAATGTAAAACCTTTTGTTTCAGGATAGAATGAGAAGGGTTAGAAGCTCTGTCAGATTTGTATTACTGTATGTGCCCACATCGGAGATTTTCCTTCACCTTCTAGCCAGGTGGCACGCTTGGAACGGCGTCAGAAAGTAAAAGGAAAACTCAAGGAAGGCCTAACTGGGCCTCACACAGCAATAAAAACCCAGCAGAGGGCCCAGTCCTTCCTCTGTCTACCCAAAACTAGAATAAAGTTTGGGCTGAAGTTGCATTTTTAATTTAACTATTATCAAACATAATTTACCGATCTTTCAGGTTGACACCACAGATAGTGTGTGGGTCGGTGATATTGCTAAATTGCAGCAGTGTAACTGGTATAGAATACATTGTTATAGAAGCTAGGTTTTGCCACAAACATCAATATGCATTTGTTATACACTGCAGCAAGGGCAAAGGAACATAGTAGAGTGCCTGAGGACACAGTGAGGGTAGGGGAGCATGCACACTGAGGACACAGTGAGGGTAGTGGAGCGTGCGCACTGAGGACACAGTGAGGGTAGGGGAGCGTGCATACTGAGGACACCGTGAGGGTAAGGGAGCGTGCGCACTAAGGACACAGTGAGGGTAGGCGAGCTTGCACACTGAGGACACAGTGATGGTAGGGGAGCCTGCACACTGAGGACACAGTGAGGGTAGTGGAGCATGCGCACCGAGGACACAGTGAGGGTAGGGGAACGTGCGCACTGAGGACACAGTGAGGGTAGGGTAACATGCGCACTGAGGACACAGTGAGGGTAGGGGAGCGTGCATACTGAGGACACCGTGAGGGTAAGGGAGCGTGCGCACTAAGGACACAGTGAGGGTAGGCGAGCTTGCACACTGAGGACACAGTGAGGGTAGTGGAGTGTGCGCACTGAGGACACAGTGAGGCTAGTGGAGCGTGCGCACTGAGGACAAAGTGAGGGTAGGGGAACGTGCGCACTGAGGACACAGTGAGGCTAGTGGAGCGTGCGCACTAAGGACACAGTGAGGGTAGGGGAACGTGCACACTGAGGACACAGTGAGGGTAGGGGAAAGTGCGCACTGAGGACAACGTGAGGGTGGGGGAGCGTGCGCACTGAGGACACAGTGAGGGTAGTGGAGCGTGTGCACTGAGGACACAGTGAGGGTAGGGGAACGTGCGCACTGAGGACACAGTGAGGGTAGGGGAGCATGCGCACTGAGGACACAGTGAGGGTAGTGGAGTGTGCGCACTGAGGACACAGTGAGGGTAGTGGAGTGTGCGCACTGAGGACACAGTGAGGGTAGTGGAGCGTGCGCACTGAGGACACAGTGAGGGTAGGGGAACGTGTAGAGACACAAGAGGAGAGGGTAGCAGGGGAATGGCTTGCTACTTGGCTTAGGGGGTAGATGTCTGTGTACTCAAGGGTGGCTCCCAAGGACCCTGCAAGGGAAGGACCCACCCTACAACCAGAAGGCAGGGCCAGCACTCAGGAGACGAGCCTAATCTAGGAATGTAAAACTTTCCAAGATCAAGAATCAGTACATATTGTCAGTTTTTATATCTGCCATAGATATTTCCAAAAACAAAATAGCCTGTAATAGAACTTTAAGTTCCATTTAGAACGTACTGAGAAAACAGTGCCAACATTATTGATCATGCGCAGTAACCTATAGCAATACCAGATTCATTTTAGTTAAGAGGTGATTTTCAGTTGGCTGCATGGAGTTATTTCTCTTGGAGTATCACTCCTTACTCTTACTGAATAAGCCTGTAAATGTACAAGTGCATTCTGCTAAACAGCCTTGTTAGTGGCACTCTACAGAGGTTTGTCTACGTTTAGCCTAATACAGCAGCAGTGATCTTGAAGTGAACCTCCACTGAATCGGTTAGATTTTAGCTAACCTCATTGCAAATGCTCATTTGCTTCTGTCCTGTAGATACTGGGACACGCCATACATCTTGCCTTCATCAGAGTGAAGGAAGTGTCTGCCAGCTCTAATCACATAATTCTTCCCTGTATAGGCATAACAAAGAAATCATGAGCCAATAACATGAGCAGAAAGTGAGCAATAATGAACAAAAATTCTAGCAGTGTTCTGTACCTAAAAGGTGTATAGTTAAACACACACACACGTTTTTATGGGTACACAGAGAATTTTTTTTGGCAAACTTGTAAACATATCTGGCTGCAGGTTACAATTAAAAAATATATAATATTTCCCTACAAACTAACTTGTGTAACCATTAAATCCTTTTTTTTTTATAGAGAGAGTAGAGTTTTCCTTTTTAAGGTGGTATTCATTATAGAAAACAATACTTTCTAGATGTTGCCCTTTGCCATCATACAATCCATCTGTTTGCTAAGGATTGCTGTAGCTGAGTTCACACGTGGCCGTGATTTTGGCTCTAAGCTGCCGACTTCTTCTTTCAGTTCACCAGCGGATTCAGGAAGCCGAGGAGCTGAAGTCTAAGAAGAATTCGAAATCTCGTAAAAAGAGGAAGCAGAACATGGAAGATGAGGAAGGTAAACATAAATTGCTATTGTCTGAGAATTGTGTAAGAGCTGAGCATGATTTTCTGTGGGATCTTATTGCCGTGTTTGTGCTTGCGTCCACCATGGTTCCTGTTACCTGTCAGTCTTTAAACTGTTGTATTGTCTGTTTGTTTTTTTTGGTCATGTGCACTAACCTGCAACTGCATGTTTGACGAACGTGGTTACAGCATGATATACACATTGAACAGGAGTCTATTCAGTGCTACGGGTCAGCACAGTGGCTTAGTTGCAGCACTGGGGGTCCCCGACTCAAATGCCAGTCAGGCCACTTTGCATGGGTTTCCTTCGGGTACTCCGGTTTCCTCCCACACTCCAAAGACATGCTGGAAGGGTAATTGGCTCCTGACTAGATGGCTCTGTATACGTGTTCAATAGGGACCTTAGACTGTAAGCCCCCTGGGGGAAGAGACTGATATGAATATTGAGTATGTAAAGTGCTGCGTAAATTGATGGCGCTATATAAATACCTATAATAAAGAAATACGTTTGATATACTTATTCTTTAACAGCAGGTTTTTATAGAGGAGTCTAACTTTACTTTGTTATTGCGATGGTTACCTGTCATAATGGCCGTCATTTTCACCAACCAGAGCTGAAATCGCCAATTGTTTTGGCAACACACAATACTTAGGTGTAAGTCCCAACTTTTGCTTTAAAATGTATAGCTTTATATCTAAACCGAAGAACGACAATGTGATACATTGCAGCTTACCGGACCTTGGATGTGATGGCATTCGGTTTCTTTTATTTTCACCTAGTGATCCTGCCAGTAACACACTTCTGTCCCAGGATGACAACGCTCACTCACTCACTGTACTGTATCTATGGAGGAGAAATGTTGTCACCGTTCGACAGCAGCATTGTCACCCCAGGCTCTCTTATCTGATTTGGACGACTCCTGCCTGATCTTCATAACATAGGTGGACGTGTTCTGTAGTTTACAGAGGTGAACTGGGCAGGATTGATAATGCTGCTTTGAATTCCAGTGTTGCAAAGTGTATAAGAAGTTTTTAGTGTACAGGTATCTTTTTGCATTTATCGAACCAACATAACAAATTGCTCTTAATGATGTATTTAGTAGACCAAAAGGGAGCAAATAGGGTATGTTTATTGTTAGGTTTTACATATACTTAAACCTTGGCTTCGTCTCACTTCTTGAGCCTCCTCATAAGTCATGGTACCTGGACAAATGTTTTATACCTTCATGTCCCTACTCTGCTTGGGCGACGTGTAAAAGCCCAACCTGCACAAAGCAAGTGAGGCTTTCACTTACCAGATGCTAGTTTCGGGTTGGTGACATCCCTGGAAATAAAGCTGTTAAGTTTTTCTTATCTGCTCAAGAAGAGACAGGCAGCCTACTCTCTATGAAATTGGTCATGTTGGCATATCCCACCATTCTGGACTGAAAAGAGACATGATTTGGCCCAAGTACACAGTATAGCTTGGGGAAGGGGGGGGGATTGGACTGCTTTTAAGTAAATCTTCCCCGAAAAGGTGATCAAACTGAGCTTATGATGAAAAATGCATAAACAGAAGTTCTATTCTAGTAGATATAGGCATTTGAGGTTATGTGCAGATCTCAGCTTTTCCTAAATACGTTTGAATTGGCCTGGTTCGCTCCCACTTCCTCTGTGATGGTTGACCTCTGTGGCTAATAGGGAGGCTAGAGAGGACGGGTTGAATTTTTACAGCAAAAGCTGAGATTTACACATAACTCTGCCTGTATGTCTCATTCTACCAATCATTTTTAAAAGCGGTTTTACCCTAGTTAACCTCTATTACTTAATTTTTTCCATCACATCAGTTTACATTGACTGCATTTGTGACAGGTTTACTGTAATGTATAACTAAAATCTAGTACAAAAAGACCCGATATGTTAACAGTCCATATACACAGGCATTCAGCATGGGTTTTCCCATATGAGGCAAGCTTTGTGAGCTTTGTTTGTATATGGTGAGTACCTGTCTATTATTCTTTATCAATTGGTAACAATAAACCTGTTTCACAAGGAGAAGGTGCCTTGTCCTTTTGTGGTAACTTGTATTCATACAGAATGGTGTGGCGAAGATGTTGGTCTTCCCTGTTTTGCCCCTGCAGGAAGTGAGGGATCAGCAGGCAGAGTCAAGTGATCCCTTTGGCAGTCTGGTCTACAAAAAAAATATCTCCCATGGTTGTGGAATGCCTACAGGTATTCTGGACGGCCATGGGGTCTGCACTCTGCAGTATGGAAAAATGTCCATCTCATGCTTTTGGATTACCATAGGAGGTCCCTCAGGTCATGCCAGCTCTTAATTCCCTCTATGTTCTGAGAATCTTTAGTTCTCAGTGGGGAATTGTGACCTATTATTTACAGTTCTGGAGTTTGTCACATTAAGCGTCCCCCTAGGAGACCTCTATTGTCTCCTCGTCCATAAAACCTTCCATGTGTAATGATGACAGAGTGCAGTCTCATGAGTCTAACTGCTCTTTGCAGTCTGGCTGAAATGCAGTCATCTTATGTAATGCACGTGACGGCGCTCTGATTTCTTCATCACCCCTAAAAATAGAACTGCTTACATTGGTGGAGGGCAATGCATTTTGGGAGACGTTGTAAGTGGCAGTTATTCTGAATTTTTTGAACACTCAAGTGCAGGGGAGGGGGTTTGTTCAATCAGTTCTTCACAATTGTATACATTCTATTTCTAGGAGCCTAATTTAATCTGCAACTTGAATGCCAACACATTTTCAGTTCAAATGTTTAAGATTTTAGAAAATACATTTTCAAGTGAAATAGGAATAGCCTCATGAATAGATAGTAGCATCACTGGCTTTCCAATGAATGGCAGCTATAAGACACATAGGTATTCTAACTATAATTTCAAGTGTTCATATTCATTATATTGCATTTGGGCACAAAGCAAATGCAGAGTAGAGAAATAGGAATAGGCATGTCGATGGGAGGCGGAGGGCAATTGTAGCTCAAAGGCATCTCTGGCCCATTTTCGTATGTCGGGAACATGAAGGCAGATCTGACGGTCATTTACATACCCTCAGTGTCACCTTTACACTGGAAATAAGCTATTGAAGTGTCACCTTTACACTGGAAATCGCTTCTTCGGGACGCAGAAGCGATCTGGCGACAGGTAAGTCGCCAGGATCGCTTCTGTTGTAAAGCCGACAGTCGGCTCTACAAGTTTAAACAGAGTCCCGGCGGCAAAAGTCGCCGGGAGTCTGTTTAAACAGCCCCGATGCTGGCGACGTACACTGTACGTCGTCAGTCACGAAGGGGTTAAAGTAACCCTTTCAAGTTTGACCTAATTCCTTCTTGCAAAAGAAGATCTTATATACTTATACAAGACTCTGGTATTCAACACTTCTTTGAATGTCGACTGACTTATCCCCTGATGTTGTGGTACCATTTTCTGACCTCCTACGTCACTACAGGACATAGCAGCGACATAGGCCTTGGAGGATGGAACCATGCCACTTAGGGGGCACGGCCATCTGACAGTTTTGGAGTGTAGAATGCCCAAGAGTCCTGAAGGCTGGAATGGAGGAAAGGGAGGAGACACAGGCCACCGAAGAGGGGAGTGTAAAAGGGTATTGCCAAAGAGTCCTATGAAGGCTGCAAGTGCTAAAATGGTGGAAAGGTAGGAGATATGGGCCCCAGAGAGGGGAGTATAAAAAGGTATTGGTGAAAATTCCTATGAATGCTGGAAAGGTAGAAGACACAGGTCTCTGGTGAGCGGAACATAAAAGGGTATGTATAGAGGAATACCGCATAACCAATCTACATGTATATTATACTCAGGTTTTCAAGACATATGGTTACAAGCTCTTTTTTTTTCTTTTTTTACTTTGTTCCAGACCTCATAGCATTCACATGACCTATGTGAGATGTACTTTTGCCTTTAGGTAAAAAGATTCCAGGAACGCAGCCCACAAAAGTATTTTATCCTTTGTGTTGATAACAACTGCACTTTAAAGAAAGAGTTTTGATCTTAAAGGAATGTGTAACATTTTCATCGTTCTTAGATGCAAAAGTGATAGAGATCAGCTTGATGCAGATAATTTAAAGCTGGGTATATACAGTGAGATTTTTCTTCAGCTTTTGGGCTGAATGAAAAAAAAAATCTTTCTTTCCTCCATTCACCCTACACAGCGTGGATGGGGGAATCTCGAGCCACGGCCATTGTACTTTGACAGTTCATCCTTTCAATCAAAGGATGTCGGTGCTAGAGGTGGCAGATAGGGCCATCCACTGGGCAAATTTTGTCTGGATCATCAAGAATTTGCTCGGTGTGTACCCAGCTTTATTGATGCATATATAAACCCTGTGTGTATGTATCATTTGTAATCTGTGCATCGGGGGCAGTCATGTTTGCCTATTACACACATAGTCCCTACTTACAAAGCTATCCAACGGTTGTGCTTTAATGCTCCTCTTCACAATTTAAAGTGGAAGTAGGGTTGAAATCAAAAATGCGATCCATGCTGCAGTTTGTCAGTAGCACCAACACATCAGTTTTTGTTTTTCCCCACCTGAAACTTTTTTATGACCTGTTGATGAGTAATTGCACTAGCTTCTAAGAGATCCATCTTGTGGCTAAATTGTACCAATCTCTATATTTAATACAATAATCGGTGTCGTCTCTAGCCTCTTTGCCACCTGAGGCGGGCGCGGGGGGGAGTGGTGGTTGAATGACATCCCCCTCCCTGCCTGGCTCGGCGTCCTGCCCAGCTCCTGGCAACCAGTGATGTTGCCAGGAGCTGGGCAGAACACTGTCCAGAGCATCCCAAGCTGCTAAGGGCTGAACAGGAAAATGTGTATGGTCCTTACACATCTCCCCACCTGGCTCTTGGCAACCTGTGACGCTGTGGCGGGAAAGGGAATACGAGGCACACTGCAAACATGGCCATGCTGCTTTGCCTGCCCCCCACGTAACCCAAAGAGATGCCACCTGAGGCAACAACCTCATGCACCCTCATTATAAGGACGGCCCTGAAAATAATATATGGAAAAACAAGTGTGTAAAACGTAAAAATATCATCCAAAATTATTTTAAGATTGTGCAAAAACTCAAAATAGGTGGCTCTTGTTAGCTGGCTCTGAATAGTTCAATGAAAATCCTAAAACCATTAAAGAACAGTCCGAAAGATTGACCCATATTCAATGGGTATGGGTTCATTTTACACGCTGATTTACAATAAATAGAAATTCTAAAAGCAGATTGACCAGTAGGTTTCTACATCACTAAGTGTTCAGTTTCAACGCTGTATGAAGCAAATTCCGATGAAGAAACGCCTGGATAAATCTTCACACTTGGGGAAATGTGCACGGTCCTCCGTTTAATCCGCATAACTGTGGTTGTCATGGCTGTCTTAGTAGCAGCACTTGAGGTTACCACAAACATAGAAGTTAAAAGCAAATATTTTTCAGTTTTGTGTCTGATCGGGAGGTTGCTAGCTGCTGAGGTCCTCCTCCTCTCAGGATTACAATGCGGCTGCTGAGCTCATCGCTGTGGAATGCAGCAATCTACTCTGTCCGTTCTATGTGCTCATCTCCCATTCATTATTGAAGTATCCCTTTCAATAGTTGATGCACCTACATTAAGCAGAAGATAATGAATTGCTGAGCCTCGAACTCCGGCCTTCTATCATTTCCCATGTCATATATTGCCAGTCACATTTATATCTGCCTCTTTTTAAACGAAGTAACTTGATACATCTAATTCCTTAAAGTGCATTAAAGGGATTTTACATTCTTTTTTATTATCTCTTCAGATAATCATGTAAAATATACCTGCCTGATGAAGATAATCTTATCAATATGCAGTACCAGGGCCGGATTACCCAGAAGGCCAACCGAGGGCCGGCCTTGGGGCAGCAGGGAATAGAGGGGCAGGAGGGGTGTGGAATTCCTATCTCCCAATGCCTGGGACATTCAGTTCTGGGCGCCGGGCAGGTAGTTGTTTTCTACATTCACTTGTATGCAGCCTACAGGTCTGCCATTCTCCAAGTGGGATTTTGGCTGGTAGTGGGGCGCATTGAGGAACCTGGCCTTGGGGCAGCAGGGAGAGTATATCCGTCCCTGTGTATTACATGGTAGACATGTAAGCTGTGGAAAAGTTTGGTTTGGATATTTCGTTATTTCAGGATTTGGATCCGAAATTCAATTCGGTTTGGGTTTCGGATTCGGACGAAATCAAAATTTTCATTAGTTTGGGATGAGTTAACGAATATTCGTTGCGTATACCACAGAAAACCATATACAGAAATGTATACTAAAGCTGAATCTCCTAGACCCTAATGGAATTCAGGATCCGAATTTCCGAATCGCATTCTGGGAGCCATATCAATTTATTACTAAAGCTGAGGCTCCCAGACCCGAATGGCATTCGGGAGCTCCTGAATGCAATTCGGAAATTTGGATCTGGAATGCCATTTGGGTCTGGCAGCCTCAGCTTTAGCATTATATGTATATTTTCTGTATATAGCTCCCATGTTGCCATAACGAAAATTCGTATTCAGACCCATTCGGATGCATTAAACCGAAAACCACATCTGATTGGCCAGAAAAGTTACGTCCGATTTCAGTTTAGTTTTTGAAAGAAATTCGGACGGGGTCCGAAATTCGGAAACGGAAATTCAGATTCGGACACGTTCAGATGCATGAGGATTGGGAAATCCGGATGTGTCCGGATTTTGATTCGGAACGAAATGAATCGCACACGGATAGAATTTTGTGTGGGAAAAAAAGCAAAAATGTCCCTGCACACGTACCAGCTAGCCTGCAAAAAAATATCTCTAACTCTTCGGGTTAAAACCAGAGGTTTTGGTTGCGCAACGTTTGCAAATCATGCAGAATGCACACTGCCTTGTCAAGGCCCCTCTGTGTAGTGTTGTCCTTACTCTAATCTATCCCATCATGCATTGCTTCCAGCAAGCAATGATAATGTTACATCGTTCAGACATTGAGTTGTAGTTAAATTCAATATAGAAATACAAATGTATTTTTAGCTTTTGACTATAAATACCCTTCAATGGTAATCTGATCTGTGTGCACAATTTATTTTTCCAGGTCTGCCCATCAGCACCTACGCTAAATACTGCTATCGAAAACTGCAAAAAGTTGCAATTACTGGAGGAAAGAAGGTAAGAGCGTTTATAGAATTGTGTATATATCTGTGTGCACTTGGTCTTCTGTTGTACTCATTTGTAATGCTTCCATATGTGTGTAAAACCCAAGCTGTAGAATCTTTAAAAAAATCCCTTCATTGTATGTCATGCACAGCTGCTCCAGATTTTGTCTGCTACAGTTTTGATAAATTCCCTTCATTGTATATAGATATGGCCACTGATGATGGCAATATCTAAGTATTTGCTCTGCATAGAGATCCTCTTTCTGGTGAGAATCACTCACGTGTCATGGACCTGAGAGAAAGAGAGAAATATAGTTCCTACCATTGCTGACCCTCTGAAAAGTACAGTTGCTGACCCTCTAGCTTCAGTACTTTCAGTTCCTGGTCTGGAACAAGTGTGCAGACTAAAAGTCATAGTAAGGTCAAACAGTCCTTCTGGGTACACGTGACCTGGATCAATGACAGCCAGACAACTAAGCATTTTCAGAAGCAAAAGACAGCGATGACAGCCTCCATGTTTGTTTGTTTTTTTTGAGTTTCCTGATGCCTTGCATGGTTTGGTATGAATAAACAGGACAAGCCTAAGAAGAAACAGACTCCGCATACATTGTAACGTGACTGTGTACCCAGTGACTCGGGATTTAGGTTAGACCTTTGGAAAGTGGCAGAGTTTACTGAGCAGTGCAAACATCGTATTTCTGAGTAAATAAAGTGAAGGCGACATTCTCCCTCTTTGTAGAAACACCATTTTGGCTGAGAGTTTTCCTGAATGTGAACGAAATGGTTTAGGTTTTCTGTGTCTGAGCTGATTCATCTTATTATAAGGTTGGAGTATGGAGTCCTAAATGACCAATTTCGTCTAATCGGGATAAACGTCATCTACTCTTTATTGTTCAAGTCCAAAATTTAGTTTTTTTTTGGATTGCGAGTCAGGGCCCCCATCAGGTTTTGTCCCCATATACGAGAGATACAATCACTTCTTGTCCTTGTGAAAACCTGTCACTGGGACAGGAACCGAAGGTACACTGGGGTCACAGACAACAATCAAAACGCTTAAAGGAGAACTATGAGGTGAATGATTTTCACTCACCCTCATAGTTCGAGCCGACGTGTGACAATGAAACTGTCATCTGTCGACTCTATAGATATATATAGTGAGCAATAGCTTGCTATATACTGAGCTTTGGGTCACAGGAGGAGGTTAGAATATGTCCTCCCGTGACCCTTAAGAGAACTGAGCTAAAAAGGTCACCTCATAGTTCTCTTTTAAGATTAACTTTTTAAATAAAAGAATAAAAAAAGTTCTAACCCCCCTGCCCAAAAAAAATTATAAAACAATGTGTCACAGTCAAATTTTTTGCTGCAGATTGTTTGATCTAGACCAGCGGTGAGGTACTCTGGCCCTCCTAGTTTGTAGAAATACAAGTCCCATGATGCATTGCAAAACTGCCAATGACAGCCATGACTCCCGGAGGCAGATGCATGTTGGGATTTGTAGTTAAAGCACAGCTGGAGGGCTGGAGTTGCCCATCCCTGGTCAGACACATGCAAGGTTAAGTGCCTAAAAGGAAATGGCTGAAATTTTCCAGCTCTACCGATCAATCGCCTTCCTGCGTTTTATACGTATAAATGAATATTCGAGTTAAAATCTCAGTTTCTTAAAGCAGGACTAAAATCCACAAACTCTCACTTCTGCTCTAGCGATGTGACTTCCACAAGCCCCGTCAATGGCTTCTTCTGGGTGCGGTATCTTTGGTAGTCTTTACTGGCCAGTGCAGGATGAATACTGCAAAAAGCTTAATATATATAAAAACGGAAGGTGAGAAAAGTGCGCGGCCCAGATCAAACAGATACCATCTGATCCCAACTGTCACTTTTAAAATGCCAACAACAGCTGAAGAATGTGATTGGTTGGCTGTCGCAGTCCGTGTACCCATCGCACTCAGAGCCGCTGCTCCAGAAATGGAGGGTGGGTACAGAAGGTGTCAGCGGGTGGCTTCCGACAAAATATCAGTAAAGGATGGACACCGGCGCTCCAAAGCAAGTTCAGTGCGTGTTTATTAACGTACTGATTGCAAGTAGAACACTCTATACAACGTTGTTTGCCTGATGAAGGGGATCCTGTGAGACCCCAAAACATTGTATAGAGTATTCTACTTGCAATCAGTACGTTAATAAACACGTACTGAACTTGCTTTGGAGTGCCGGTGTCCATCTTTTACTGGTTGGCTGTCTCAGACGCTTCTCCGGACCTAGTTGTGATTGGTCTGCTCCCAGCTTGTGGAAGTTGCGCTGCTCATCCCTCACATTGCCGTGAGGAGAGGATGGATCTTTCTCTCCTGGCTTCACCTCAGATGGGCTCTGCTCCCTGAACAAGTTGTGGTTTTGTTCATATGATTTATTTAGCTTGGGGATTTCATTGGATTTTCACATCCCCATTTAAGGGCATGTCATTAAGTCTCGGCTGGGGTACAATTTAGAGAGAGGCGTCTCCTGCCAAGACTGAGCGTGCTGCTGTCACCAGCAGAGTACGGGGGAAATTCTCAGGATCCCTGTGACTGTGTCACGTTCTACACTTTTACACATAAGTCATCCTTGCCAGGCGTCTCTGACCCCCTCGGGACATTCCAAGCTGTTCAAAGGTTGTCTCTGGAAACTGTATGTTGTTTTTTCTTTTTCATCAGTGACCAACTGAGGGGGGGAAGATGTTTTTTTGGCAGAAGGAACTTAGTCTTTTCTACAAAAGTTCTCTACTTCCTAGAGATTCTATTACAGTGTATCTAAAATCAAAACGTTCTTTTTAATTTGGATCGGGATGGGGAATTGTTCAAAACCCCCATTCAGGTTTCTTTTTTCTCTCGGTCAATTTGGTGTCACCTCCCTCTGAAAAGTCAGACACTCGGTCATTGGCCGAGAGCCCGACAGTTGCACAAGAGCGGAGGGGACCCAGTGGCATACCTTATATCGCCAGGTGAACGTCCCCTCCTCTCTTTACTGGCTTCTATCACCAGGTACACACGTGTGATGTCATCAACGCGCATGCATGATGAGGCCATTCGCATGCGTGATGGCGTTCCAGTGGGATGTCACCCAGCGGCCGCACCGGGTGACACCACGCCTGGGGATGTCCCTGCTAGAATAAGTGTACCAGTTGGAAGATTTTTCCCTCACCTGCTGCTCACTGTATAATTTTGGATTTCCCATCACTTTCTGTCCCAGTGACAGTGGTCATCAGGACAAATGAAGAAAGGGAATCTCCCTTACAGATAACAATCTGATAGGGGTTCTCACTGATACCGTTCCTCACTTCATCTAAAACCCCAAAAACTGGATACTATTAGTTTTTCTTTGCTTGTGCTTTGAGAGCTGGTATCACAGGTCCAGACTAGTTTAAGCATTGCTCTGTTTACATTCAGCTTGTCAGCAGTCTGCACTGTAACTGAAGACTGTAAGAGCAGGAAATGCATCTGTGCCACATACAGTAGCTGTTGAATTCAGTGGGGGAGGGGGAATTTATCAAACCTGGAGCAGACAGAATCTGGAGCAGTTACCCATAGAAGCTGATTGGTTACTATCTTCAATTTGTTCAGTTAAGCTTTTGAAATGAAAGATAGAAGCTGATTGGTTGCCATAGGCAACTGCCCCATATTCTGTCTGCTCCAGTTTTCATAAATACACCCCGTGTCTTTACTGCTGGGAGATTTAAAAAATATATAATTTCTGTGCTGAAGTGCACTTATGTAATCATTGGAGACAACAAACTGTTGGAAGCAGGTAATGTGCCTATATGTGAGATAATAGAGCAAGTGTTGCAGTTTCCCTTACAGGCAGTATGGGCTTCTTGTATAAAACTTTCTGGACGGATGGCGTTTCCACAGCCCCTAGATGGGGCTGATTACTACAGGAGTTTCTTATATGCATCAGCGCCTTCTACGGGTACTATTGCCATGCAAACAACATGAAGTTTCATACATGAACCCCTATGTGTTCAACTACCTCCTGCACTGTATATTTCCCATATGACGCCACACAGAGTGATAAGGGGGATAATCAGCGGGCTGAGATGGGTCCTGGACCAAGCTGTATTGCTAAACTGCAACTAGGTCTTCAGGGAGGTCATTGTCCTGGCTGTGCTTTTTTTGGCTGGGGTGGCTGGATCACAAGACTAGCTGAACACAATTACAAATCTTATACGGATCACATGCATGTATTACTAATGTGTATTTAGCGATTTTCCTGGAGTTGAGCTTTAAATGATCTTTGTTGTCTTCTTTGCAGGGTCTGAGGAAGCCGACACTGGAGGAGATCGAGCAAGCTCGAGATGCCATCTTGACACCTTCCCTGTTTGGGAGCTCCTTGGAGGAGATCATGGAGAGACAGAAGACGGTGTATCCTGAACGCCGTCTGCCCTGGGTACAGACGCAGCTCTCCCAGCAAGTGCTGTCACTGGGAGGGGAGAGGACGGAAGGAATATTTAGGTGGGTGTTTGAGTTTTCAGCGTCCCCAGTGCAGTGTCATTTAAATGCCCTGACCCTATATTATAATGTATGTCGGAAAAACTGTTGGTCATGGCAGCCAATGCACTTCTCTATTTTATTTTCATGTACTGTATTGTCTGCCTGCATTGCATAGAGAAGCACAGAGACGAATGTAATTGAAATGGAGAGGTTTTTATTTAAGAAATATCAATACCTTGTTGATGAAGAGGGGAAAGGACAAACCAGGGAAGGCAAAATATAAGCAGATTAAACATCAGCTTTAATTTGCAAATCAAACGTTTTTTTAATTTGTATTAAAGTCTCTCTTATTTAAAGGAGAACGCTGGAAAAATCTTTAAAAAATAAAGCCATTAAAAGTTTAAATAAACAAGCTTTTGCTGCAGTGCTCTCCTTCAGGAAATGCCCTCTGCAGTACTTCTTCTCTGCCACAAGATGTCCTCATTTTCCGGGTTTAATGAAAGCATAATTCAGCCCATTTCCTCTTAACACAGGCTGTCATGGACCCGCCCCCAGTCTGTGATTGAACAGTGAAGGAGAAGCAGCCCAGTGATGAGCTCATCTCTCTACCTCTCTGCTTTCTACTACTATTAGCTTGCGTCTTGTACTGTCCTAGGTTAATGGGAGAATCTGGTTACTATGGTCAAGCCATTCCTCCTTAACCTCTTGCCGTCCGACCATAGTAGAAAAACGGACGGACGGCACTGCTGCAATGGCGGGTTGCCGTCGCCAGACGGCATTTTTTTTTCTGCTCGCGCGCGCCCCCTAGCGGGCACGCACGGGCAGAAAAGAACCGTCCAATGCAAACACCCGGTACTGGGTGTTTCACATATAGGCGATCAGCGGGTCCATAGTCCGCTGATCGCCTATATGTGCTCGTTTGCGTCCTAGAGACTTGCCGCGCTGAATACTGAAAAATGGCCTGGATGGGAAGGTGGTGTAACACCGCGGATGTCAACTGGTTAATAAACTGTAAATCATAAAACTTTTTGCTGTTTAGTTTTATAAATTTGTACAATGAAGATATTTTTCAAGGGCAGTCATAGAGCTCTTAATGGTTAGAATTGACCACATAGGAAGCAAAGCCTCCCAATGCAACCTTCTGTTCAGTTGACCACACAGGAAGTAAAGGGAAGTCTCCTGAAGAACCTTCTGTTCAGTTGATCACACAGGAAGTGAAGGGAAGTCTCCCAATGCAACTGTAAAAGCCTGAGAGAAGTTCTAACCCCACTCCCCAAAAAACTAAAAAAATTTGGGCTGTAGTGATTATAAATGACCCCAATGTGGTATTAGTCTTATCCATCGCTCATTAGCACAAAAAGGGCAGCAATGGTACATTGTGATTTATTTATTCTGCTTTTACTTTTCAGGGTACCTGGAGATATTGACGAGGTGAATGCCCTGAAAGTGCAGGTGGAGCAGTGGAGGATACCAGACAGTCTCTCTGACCCCACCATTCCTGGTAAACAAAACTGATTTACATGTGATTACCCAAATAAAGACTAACACCACAGAGCACACAGGACTCATTGCTTCCTCTGATTTCACTGCACACTGTGAGCTTCCCACAATATGCATTAGAAGATGCAGCGAGTAAGATAGAGCTTGGCTCCTGGCTGGAGGACACCCAGCATCATCTATCACTTTCTATCCCCAATGGATCTCTTCCTGACCCTCCCCTTTTATTCTTTGGATTTTGGTTCTTTTAATCAGGGAGACTCTGCATCTGTCGGCGTTACCTGAAAGAGGCTGCATGCAAATAGAAATATAAAAATGCATTTTGATATTTGCATAAGTCCTCCCTCCTCTGCTTTCATCGGGGCCGAGGGCTCTTGAGAGGAGCACTAAGCTGTGATGTTTTTAGGAAGCTATGTATAGCACCCTGACGGCCTCTCCCACCAGCCATAATCTGCCTCCATTCCACAGAGAATCACAGAGACCCATCACTGGATATAATGTAATGTATGTAATGAAAATGGAAAGGTGTCATTTTTCAAGGGGGTCCTGGAGCTTGTGGCCTGGTATGGTGCCC